GGGGGCGACTCATCCCCTACCAATCAATCTACATATAAACAAGCTTCCTTCTCAACATCCCACTCCACTATCCCCCTCACCTCACCCCATAAACACGAGTCCCATCGCAACTGCAACCATCACAGCATGAGAAAACAGGTCTGTGAGAATACCGTTATCAACATCTGCCCATGTGTCGCCCCCTCAGAAATAACAAGGTTGATCCGAAAATACAATATGAGAAACAGGCAGACCTCTTGGACTAAGAAATCCCTCGAACAACCCCCCCCCAAAAGTCATTTCCTCAAACACACTAGTGATGCACCCCCAATTTTCAAAAAATGTCGTACCATGATCAACGTTCAACGAAAAATTAATCCACCAAACCAAGATTAATCCAAACTCCCCACACACCACTCCCCCACCCCCCATTGGCTGACATGTGCTTTCCCTTCCCTTTTGTACACCCATGTACAACAACACATCTGCGCCCCCTATACCCCCAGACTTACAAGACAGATTGCTGCTAATCCGATTGTGCCTGATGCCTTAATGATCAATGACTGACTCAAACCTCCGCACTCAATCGCCCCCAGCTTATATACACCTTCACTATCAGACTACTGATTCCATATATCATGCGCCCACTATGCTATTCCATGATCAACTATAAGCACCCAATCCCATTGCTCAGTTATCAATGGATCAACTGATGATGGACCATCTCTAGCTGCACACGATGCCCCCTACTCCACGTTTTCTAGTCAAATCCACCACCGAGCCCCACCCGCTGGCTTACCATCGATCAATCATCCAGACTTCCCGCTACCTCCCCCATACACCACCCTACTCTCTCCCTATCAACATGCGACTGACCTCCCCTCGGCCTCTCGCGTCCCCTAAGACATGTAGAGACATATTCATAGGCACAACACACGACCCCTTCCACCCGTACCCTTCACCCCATAACCAATCATAAACACTCCCTAACCTCATTTCACAGCAAAAACCAGACCAGCTGTCACATCTATATGCAAGCTGAATAAAGTTTCCTACATGATCTAACAGTTAGCATTCTGCTGCGTGTTCCCTCAATTCTGCAGGATGAGTCTGACATCAACAAAGGATGGCACAGTGAGGTCCTCCCAAATGCTACACTCTTCATCCATCTCGCGCCACCTAGCGTACACGCGCAGATCGCCATGCTCGCCCTTCCAGAGAGCATCCTCCGCAAAGTCCATTAGGCTACTAATTTCCAGGCCCCCTTCCTCATTGAGAACCTGCTGTTCTCAGACTGGGCTGTCATCGTTTCCAAGTGGAAGCCATTACTCGGAGAAGAAGAAGCTGCTATCAAGACGTTTGCACGGGATATGACTACAATTCTCAAGCAAGCCACAATCCAAAATCGTGAGATGGACAAAATCGTAGCCAAAACCGAGAGAGTCATTCTCGATTTGCACGGCTTCAACTTTTCACATCTCACCGTTACAGGTGATGTCTCCACCATTGAGAACTCAGATGAACATAAGCTTAAGCTTCTAGATCAGATGAACGTTTCACAAGTTGAGAGGGAATGGTATGTAAAGAGGATGGCACAAAGGCAGCAGCAAGCTGCCAAACCTCCTCCTTCAACCCAGACCCCCCGCAGGAATAGCAACTACAAAATGTCACACGACGCCCCGTTCATCCCGGTCCAGACCTCCAGATGGATCGAGAACTGGAGCAGCAATGTGGACAACAAGCTTTGGTTGCTTGATACGTTCAACCATGTTGCCCCTATCACCATCCAAGCCTACACTGCCCTCGCCAACCTCACAACTGAGGAACTTGCTGAGGGTCGTGCGGATGCTGCCAAAGACACCATCGCGTACACAGCTGGCAAATCCCAGTTTGACAGTAACTTCCCCATCCTTAGCCCTCTCGATAAATCCAAATGCTCCAAGTGCCACCCCGTACTGCAACAAAAAGGGATCCTGAAACCCACAAACGATGTCTATGAGTTCAAAAAATTGTGGAATTCTGGCAGACCGTACCTCAAATGCGCGTGCCCTACTAGCAATGGGTCGATCACTTGGTTCGACCATATGCTTTGGTTCTACATCGCCAACATCGACATCTTCGAGGCTGACGTCCCCTCAGACAGAATGAGAATGGTAGAACTAACGGACAAATTGCAGAATGAGTGGAGGAAACCTGTGAAACTACAGGTCACATTCCTCTACATGCGCAGGCATATGATGAACCTGACGCATCTCCTCGCAGAGAAGCCGCAGTCAACTGTCGAGGAACTCACCACCAGAGCCCCGTACTCCACCATGCCCTTTGCCGAGAAGTTCGCCACCTCCCTCCTCCCTGCAACCGCCAGAGCACAGAGCATCCACACCCCCATCTCCTCAACTCCACCCAACTCCAACAAACGAAAAGAACACCCCGCAAACATCATCCTGAGAAGCAGAAGCAGACAATCCACAATCCTATTCTCCAATCTCAACGCTCCCACCCCCCCACACATGCCTGCGGGCAATGCACAAGTAACCCACACCTACTCTCCGCAACACCCCCCACCACCTCAGTTCCACCTACCCGCGCAACAAACCTCAACGCTACCACGAACCACAATCAACAACACCCCACAACCCAACCAACAGCACAATGACCCACCAACAACCGATGCAACCCCCCCTACCACCAACCCCCCAACACGTATCTCTGTGGACATTCGCAAACCAAGAAAGGAAAGAAGGAACCCCACCAACGCAAAGAGAAGCCAAAAAGGAAGATGGCAAAAGAGAAAGGAAAAACTCGCGGCCTCAAAGAAAACACAGCAACAATCACTCGTCACACCCCCACCTGTTGCCGCCTTACCACCTCAAGACACCAATACACAGGCCCGAGAATTCATCCAAGAGGTGCTTCAGCAACCACCAGCACAGACCCCACACCCAACACACGCCCAACAACCACCGATACTCCCACTGCCTGCTGCAACGGCTTATGCCTGCCCTGCACAATCCCAACCTACAACACTGCGCGCAAGATGGCTTCCCCCAATCCAACAATTTCTCTCACAACAGCGCAGACGAGCCACTCCCACCTCCACACGCCAGCATAGGCCACCAACTACACACGGATCCAGAACTCAAAATCCCATTGTTGTCAGCTCACCATCACCCGACACTCCCCCACGTGCTGTTAACCCCATAAGCTTCCTCCTGGAACCTTATGATGTCGAATGTTCCCTGGTCGCCCCGGAATTGGATGAAAGATACAGTACCGAGGTCGTCCAAGAGACTCCTGAAGCCACCCTCCTCAACAAACCAACCAGAAGGAATTTGAACAACGAATATGCCAATGAACGCCTCACTATTACAGATCTCTTAATATCACCGGCTTTAATCTGACATACTCGATGCAGCATGCTAGGATGGGTGGCCGACCTGATCTAACAATCAACCTGGTACAACAAAGGAACTGCAACGACACAAGACCCGGACCTGCTGCAGCTATTACAGAAGCAACAACGACCTACCCAACATTCTTCAGGAGGACTGTACCTTGCCATCAGGAACACCACACATATGAAGACTTGGGCGGCTGCGGGAATACAGACTATGCTGAACTAGTTAAGCATCTAGCCTTCCATTCTGTTTATTTATTGTTCAATCTTCTGTTTGAATACAGACTATGCTGAACTAGTTCAGCATCTAGCCTTCCATTCTGTTTATTTATTGTTCAATCTTTTGTTAACAAGCAGAAAGAGCCAAAGGATATGTCAATGGGACGCTGGACCCGGTTTCCAGCAGGTGACGCTCCCCACCAATAGATGGAGTCTCTACCCTGGTATTTGTGGTGTTTGCTAACAATCATTTTTTATTAGAATTTTGTTTAAATGCAACCTGTGAGCAAAAGATACACGTGTTGAGTGGAACGCGAATGTTACATCTGCAACATTAATTTAACACCTGATATTGGTCAGGATCACCTTAATTATCCCTCTCTCCCTCTCGCTCCCTCTCGCTTCCTCTCGCTATCCCCATACATCTACAACATTAATTTAACACCTGATAATGGGCAGGATCACCTTAATTATCCCTCTCTCCTTCTCGCTCCCTCTCGTTATCCCCATCCCCCCCTTTTTTCTTTCCCTCCCACGCTCTCCCTTCTCCTCTCTCTCTCTCTCTCTCTCTCTCTCTCTCTCTCTCTCTCTCTCTCTCTCTCTCTCTCTCTCTCTCTCTCTCTCTCTCTCTCTCTTTTGACTAAAACACCCTGAGCCTCATTCCCCATATACAGAAACTCCTCATAACAACATCGATATCCCCTATGCCCACACCCGAAATGACACCCCCATACTCAACTCTTTGTACCACACCCGAATACAACATTGATATCCCCTATACCCACACCCGAAATGACCCCCCCATACTCAATGCTCTGAACCAAACCCGAATCCACACTCTCGTATCGTGACCCTAGCAAAGACACCGACACCTACACAAATGAATGGTAAATCACCACCAAAAAAAACCCTGACATGATCACTGTAAATATCCATATATATATATATATCCCACGCTCCCTCTCACTTTTCCCCATCCCCCTCTCTCTCCCTCCCTCTCTCTCTCTCTGCTACCTTTTCTCTCTCTCTCTCTCTCTCCTTCCTGAGCATCATAAAACACCCTGAACTCAGATCTTTACTCAAATGCGGACTTAACCACATCCCAACAACAAGGATGGATCCCAAACAAGTCCTAGACGAATGTATCACTGCATGGACAAAGACACTCGAAATTATCAAAAAAGAAAACGAAATACCAAACACCCTGGAAAATAATGCAACCAATGACCTCAAAAAAGTACTCGATCTCACATTACGCAGATATCCCAAAAACGCAGCACCTAATATACATACACATGCTATTTAAAATACGATCAAACACTTCACACAACATTTCTACATCTCTGGAGCCGATAAAGCTCCAAGCACCCAAGTAATATGCTGCGTAAACCTACTTAGGTTCCTAGCTCTCCAGAGGCTCTCCGGCCCGGATTTCACCCCCTGCCCACTACAACCAAATGAACTTACTCACCACCTCACACAAGAAATTGCACATCGGTTCCCCTTTATTCCACTTGGCAACCCTATGCTCCCATACCTCTTTGCCACATATAGAAAACACAAAAACTCATTACGCTGGCTCACTAACGCGGTTGATGTTATATTCTCTCCACTCGCAGACTAATGCGCGGCTGTCCTAAACAAACTCAAAGAGACCATCCAAGAACATTGCGGGTCACTGAGCAAAAAGACCCTAGAAAAGACTGGCCACAACACATCATTCTGGTGGATCATAGACTCCACAACAGACTATGTCTACAACCTGCCCGACAACATCAAAAATATGTTTGCAGCAGACATCACGCGCTGCTACGAAACCATTCCCACCGATGACTCCTTAGACGGACTCCCTAACACAGTTCGCTTCTTTGTAGACTTAGCATTCTCCAATGCACGAAAAATATACGGACGCAACATAGCACTGCACTGCAACCTCAAAACAAAATATGAAACCGATAAAATGTCAATGCTACTGGGCACCCAACACCAACCATGCACACCCCACCCTCACACCGGAAATTATCATCTCCATGAACACCTGGCTTATCAGCAACGCATACACATTATTTGGCAACCAAGTATGGAGGCAGACCCTTGGAATCCCGATGGGAGTGAGTTGCTCTGCAATCTGGTGCAATCTGTACTTGTTCATGTACGAATATAAGTTCATGAGGAAAATGTGCCACAAACGCAACCAACACCTTCTTCCCCTATTTTCACATATGTTCAAATACTTCGACGATCTGCATTCACTCAACAACCCCCTCATTAAGAAATTCTTAGACCCTGAAATCACCTCTTCGAGAAGCACGTACTACCTCTACCCTCTAAAATATGTCACAATCAACGACCAAACCACATACACTTCAGACCAATAGTTGGGAACTGTAGGATCAGAATGCAATTTCCTCAACGTTACCACTAAAATCACAAACCTTCAAAACGGAACATTTACTACCCGGAAGTTCGACAAAAGAAATCTACTCAACTTTCAGATGATCAAACTGCTCAAATACAACTCGAACCGTCCCATCACACAATCCATCAGAACGCTTATCCCCCAAATTGTGACAATCATGACTGTCGAAGACAACCCAACCAGTGCAGCAAAAGAAACAATCAACACCATCAAGACCATGACGAGCAATGGCTTCTCCAGACATAAGTGCCTTCAAACCGTCAGAAACATACTACAAAACCACGGAACATACCAACCCTTCAGATGCCACCCAGAACAAACCTACGAAATAATAACGCAAAAAATCTACTAAAAATACTGTGTGTGTTGGCCATCACACTTGGCCGGTGCGGATGGAGGACCCGAAACCCGTGAGGGGGACAGGTCTGCCATCCATACCTGCTCTCCCTCACGACCTCCATCACGAGGGAATGAGGGAGGGACACACACACACACACACACACACACACACACCTAACAAACCACCACCACACCCACACAATTATACAAGCACGTACATACACACACACACGCATGCACACATATACACACACTCACACACATGCCACACACCTCACACACCCAAAACTAGTTCTACTAACCATACTTTGGTTCATAACATTACTGACCACACCTACGTTACACCCCAACAGCAGAGCTCGAGCCTAGAAGCACCCACCAAGCAGCAGACAAGCACCTCAC